TGAGCACCACGGATTGAGTGTTGTGGTTGCATGAGCACCACGGATGATGATTTGCTCGAGCGAGGGTAAGTGTATGGTGACCTTGGCGCCATTAATAATTAACCGGAATTTTCATATCATGCATTGATTATGTGTTAGTGAAATTATGTGATTATCTTATTGGATAAATTGATTTGGTGATGATGAGTTGGTGGATTCGATAATTTGATCGATAATTTATTTATGATGATTTAAGATGGCATCTAGAGTACTAAATTACGATTGATTGCGACTGTTTGATTAGCTGATTGGGGTCCCGAAACTAGGTCGTGGGAAAGATCCACACACACAGCTTAGTTGCTGACCCACTTCTGTTCAGTTTCTTACAGGTTCGAATGATTTGAGAGGAACTCTGGCACTGCACAATGATCGATGGAGGATTGATTTTGAAGTTTTCCCAGATTTTGAAATAATTCTCATTTATGTTTTATGAGTCGATGATTTGGGTATTGCATAGTAGATAGTACCGTAATGAGCATAGTAGTGAATGACAATCTGATTTGGTTTACCTAAAATAAATGAACTAGATCGAGTTGATGTTTGGAATATGATGAGTAATTTGAGAATGGATTGTTGTGATTTTGGATCAAAATAATGTAGGTATGTATATTACTAGTGCTAAATAGTCAAGTTTTTGCGTAACCCCCAATAGAGATTCCTCTTTGCGTGTGAACCATTGGTTCAACCCATGAATTTTAGGGTGGGGTGTTACATTGATGTATTAATTATCAATAAGATTTTAGTAGTGCTTTTAACTGAATTATGAGTTTAAATAGATCTTCTAATATTGATTTTAATTATAGATTATAATCTTTTAGTATATTTAATATTCCTTCTTGATATGCATTTATTATTTTTACTATTTTATCTATTATATTGAAAAAATTTCATTAGCAATTCTAGTAGTACTAATAATAATAATCCAGCTGCAACGCTAAAAAGGGTTTCATTTATCCTTCTCTTATTTGTTTTCTATGTTATTGCTACTTCTTCTCTCGGAACTATTATTTTTTTCTTCCAAATTTCATTAACGTTAAAAAGGGTTGGTCATCTACGTAATGGCGCATCATTTTCGTTCACAATTACTATCATTTGTAATTAGCTTAAAATTTGATTTATGGAGGCGTTATTTTTTATAAAGAAAGTTAACATGTAATTATTATTTAAAGTTAAAAAGTAGTATTAGACATGGCAAAACACCCAAATAACAAGTTTTGTTGGTTGCAAAATAATTTTGTTTATGTAGTTGGTTTTATTAGAATAGAAAACAAACTAACGGAACATATTACATGTAAGGGTAAAATGATAACATTATACAAATAGCGCATTTAAAAATGACTCATCTAAAAACTTTTAAACAAACAATTCATTTGTACTACGCACATTTTCAAATGTCTACATTTCTTAAATGCCTACATTTAGACAAATGACTCGTTTTGTAAATGCTTCATGCAAACAACCCCTTAAAGTATAAAGTATAGTTAAATTTCTCGTACTACAAATGTTTCACATTGTCTACGAAATGCCCACAATTTATCTGGGCTTGTCTGTCCAGATAGGTTATTTATGGACAGTATAGTGGAATACTCTTCGTGTAATGTGGGATATGCTATATGGACGATAACATGATGTCAAGTTGAAAAATGTGGCAAATATTCATAATCCAGTGGCACTGGGTCGATCAAGGATCTCAATGCGCTGCATTGTGGCCATCACCTCTAGATTGTAAAATAGAGTGAATTGTAAGTTTGGTAACTAGAATTACTAAAATGTTTCACTTTCTTCACTAAAATTAGTTTATTCCCTTTATGGTCACTAAAATTAGTTCAACAATTTAAGTTTGGTCACTCTCTGTTAGTCTCTGTTAACTTTCGACGATGTGGCAGACAACTTAAATAGTTGACCGTTAAATGTGTGGTGTGGCAATTAAAAAATTAATCTTTTTATAATTTCCACCTCGGTAAATTAAAATAATAAATAAAATATAAATATTATAATTTCTACTCCGCTCCACTCTTCAGCAAAGCCTGCAAGTGCTACTAGACCGGCCGCGTCGACACCCTCCGCAATGTCCCCGGCGGCGGCTGCAGGACGAACAAGCGTCTCTCCTCCATTGGCAGTCGCAGACTCGCAGTAACTCTTCCCTCCCTCGTCCACCAACTTCCTCCTCGGTCGTGATGAGGGAAAACCCTAGCAGCAGCAGCCGCCACCAGTTCCAAATCATCAAATAACCAGCGACAGCGGGTGCCTTTTCAGACGACGGTGGCGCGACCCTCCTAATAATAATAATCCAGCTGCAACGACGGACACGATTCTTTTTCCGACAATGGCGACCTTGTTGGCGTCCACCCTAAACAACAAGTTCTCAGCCGCTTTAATTTACAAATGGGTAGAATCATCATCCCCCTACAAATGGGTATCAAAGAAATACCCAAATTTACACGATGTCAAGGAGAAAGTTGTTCGCTTTAATTTACAGTGTAGTATACTAACCTTGTTTCTGCATCTCAAAGGTTCTATCTTTAAACGGCTGAAACTGCAAGAACTGGAAATTGAGATCTATAAGTCTAAACCATGCATCGAATATCCTCCCGCTAGCCGGCTAGATGGTGGCTGCACTTGAAGCGAAATTGGCGTCGTGGGTGAACATCATCATTGTGGAGGGTGACTGCTTCTTATTCTCGACGAGTTTGCTCAGCAGAAAGCTGGTTGACTCGTCCCGAATATCACAATAAAATTTTAAATTAAGGCCTAAGTATAAACCTTAATTGGGTGAAATATAGGGCAAGTATGTTTAAATGTCAATCCAGGCTGATCCATGTACCCCTACTTTGATTTTTTGTAACATTATCTAGCGATTGGTTTTGGTGACAACAACGATCTATAGCTAAAACGTTTGGAAAAGTAAATGAATTTGACACTAATTGAGAAGGCTTCACCAGGGTGTTGCTCCCCCTAGCTAGGAATTATGACTTGTCGGATCTAATAAACACGTGTGGTAAGGAGGTTGTAAACCATAGGGAAGTGCAACAAGTGGACAAACGCCACTCTCTCGGTCAATAGGTCAAGGGAATTCGATTCAAGCCACCAAAGTAGCTCTCGTGACCTATTGACTAAGGGTTGTCAAGACTTCACCCTCGAATCGGAGTTCGGACGGCCAAATTACAACCAACCCTAGGTGCTAATACGAACAAAGAGGGTTTCCCTACATTAACCTAGATAGGAGACAGAATTTGCCTAAGAAAATCCAGCTTTACAAGCCTCTTTTAAAGAAAGGGGGTTTTCTCTCTACCTAGGTTAGAATGACAAATAGAAGCAAACACATAACACAATCTTTCATGAAAATACCTCCAAATTCATATTAAAACACATCCACACATAAATCATTCAATCCATACAAACATTCACATAATTGTAGCTAGGGTTTACAAACACCCAAGTGAAATAAGGAACTACTCCATGCTAAAAGAAGGGGAAACACAAGAGAGAAGAAAGCAAACCATCATGGAGATACTAGCCTTGCTCCTTGTGTTGAAGAGATCCTCCTTTGGGGAAGGAATTCCCAAAACTTCGCTTGAAGATAAAACCCTAACTTCTTCTCTTCTTTGGTTCGTCACTTTCTCACTCTAGAAATCTGAAGAAGTTTCTCACACTAGGTGTCTCCTCATTTCTCATTCAGCTCAAACCTCTTTTTATACCCAGGTCTGGCTCACATCACGATCCCAGTTCACGGTTGTGAACTCAACGCGCTGCATCAATAATCCAGTTCACGGTCTACGGCTTGGGTTTGAGTCTAGTGAAAGCAAAAGTGTCCCTGGATGCCTGCGGTTCACAGTTTACGGCTCCGGTTCACGGTCGCCCTGACCATGAACTAACTGCTTCCACCGTGATCAGCTATTGCCTCCATCCTTTGACCCGATTTTTCGCCTTTTTGCCCAACTTTTGACTCCAGGGCTGGTTCACCTGGTATAGACTGAAATGCACAAAATCGAGCAAAACCCAGCGTAAAACCAAACCTCCCGGAGTAAAAATGCCTCAAACAACTAGGAAAACCGGGGGTACAAAGTGTACAATTAAGACTGAATCACTAGTTAGGCTCAAGCTCCCCGAGTCACAGATGTGGAATCAGAGAAGGCGATGGCTGGAGAGGGAAGTGGAGCGGAAATTATAACTATAATATTTATGTTTTATTTATTTTTTAATTTACTGTGGTAGTGAGGTGGAAATTATAAGAAGATTAAATTTTATTTTTATAATTTTTAATTGCCACATCACACATTTAACGGTCAACTATCAAAGTTGACTGCCACATTTGCAAAAATTAACGGAGACTAACAGAGAGACCAAATTTGAACTGTTGAACTAATTTAGTGACCATGAATAGAATAAACTTATTTTAGTGACAAACTTGAAACATTTTAGTAATTCTAGTGACCAAACTTGCAATTTACCGTTCTAAAATATATCTATTTCAAATCCTGAATTTTGATATTTAACGAGTAAGATTTAAACATCAGTTTCACCATCAACATATTATTATTTTGTTCCTGTAAGTGCAGGATGACACTAATTAAATCCCAACTCTAAGCCTTTTGCTATCACAAAACGAAAATACTAGGTACCTAGCTAGGTAATTCAGTACTGACATGCATGATGTAATTTACCCTACATTAGCAATTACCAAGAAAATATCAATACAGAGGAAACCCAAGCTGGAAGATGAACACCCTGTCCCAGCTGGTAATCGAGCAACCTCCATTTACCCACCAGACAACTAACTAAAATCCATCATCTTCACCACTAACAGCCTAGCCTAAATACAGTGTTCCAAAATTGGTGAGAAAGCACGCATGCATGCATAGACTCATATAATGGAACATATATATCATCTCCTACGATTTCATATATATTATTATTATATATATAGTAGCTTGTACGTATAACGTACAACGTACAAGTACTTAGAGATCATACCAACGAAACCCTACTTGACCACCTACTCCCAACTTCAGCTCCAGCTCCACCATACCACTACTCATGTTCCCACCACTATTACCACCTCCGCCGCCGCCGGCAGAGCTGGTCATGACGTCGTGATGACTATTACCGCCACAGCTGCTGCTACCGAACAGCTGAGCAGTTGACGTCACCACCGCGCACTTGTTGTTGCTGCTGTGATGGCCAGCGCCGCCGTTCTTGCTGCTCCGCTTCCTGATCTTGGTCGGCGCGGGGACGGCAGCAGGGGAGGGGACTAACGGTTCGGGGATGACGGAAGGGATGTCGAAGTTGGTCTTGGCTTTGGCCCCTCTCAGCTTCCGAGCGGCGGAGTCGTAGGCACGCGCCGCCTCCTCCGCCGTGTCGAACGTCCCCAGCCAGTGGCGGCACCGCCCTATCCTGTCCCGTATCTCCGCCGACCACCGACCCCACGCCCGCTTCCTCACCCCTCGGAAGCTCCTCGCCGCCGGGTGGTGCTGGGGGCCGTCGGCGGCGGCGCGTGTGCTGTTGATGCTCATCGCCCGGTTCCTGTAGCTGGTACCGTACAAGACCTCCTCGCCCACGACGGCAGCTATTCCCTCCAGGACAGGCGAGGCCGACATTTGAGTTCCGGCGGGCGGCGGAGATAAGCTGGAAGACATGATATCCCGCCGAGAAATTTGTTGTTTTGTTGTGTTGGTGATTTTAGCGTAGCTGTTTTGTTGTCGTCACTCTTTTTAATATGTGGGAGAGAAAGACGGAGAGATCCTTTTGCAAGAACCGGTTCCCCCAGGTTGATCTGAATTTATAGGGGGTCAGAGAATTCCATAAAATAATGTTCTTTATTCAAAATTATATTCTTCGTGGAATCTTTTTCTTTTGGAGTTATTTGCCTTTTTCTTATTTTCCCATATTTTATCTAATTACAACATTTTAACAATGGTTTTTTTGTCCTTTGTAATTAATCACTGTTTTCCCCCATATTTCAGGTACTTACAATATTTTGATTGTTTTCAAATCCAACACTTTATTAGTCCTTTCGGAGACATTCGATAAAATTGGAACGATATAGAGAAGAAGATTAACATGATCCATGTGCAAGAATGATGCACATAAATCGAGAAATTCAGCTCGTTTGCGACATGTAACGATTTTGGATTTGAGTTAAAATGATTCATGTGCAAGAACGATACAGAGAAGATTCACACGTTTTATGCATTTTTTTTTATATTGTTGGCTTACTCACCTCATTCGCGACATGTAATGATTTTGGATTTGAGTTAAAATATGTTGACAATTAGTGGGAAAATTAAATTTTATGGATATGGATATTTAGTTACAATGGTTTTAATAAATTCATGGTGAAGGTAGTAATAAGTAATAACTAATAAGGTGGTATATATATGGGAAAAGAAAACTAGTGGAAAGTAAGTAATCAATATTTCTTTCCTGTCGAACGATGGAGGAGACGGTATGCTGTCATGTAAGCGGAGCAGGGCTAGTGATATCCCCCGACACTCTGCAGATCATAACGTCAGACACAGTGAATTAGCCATATATGTACTCAACTGAAACCTTATATACATTGTGTTGTACGCTTCCTTGAGTTTAATATTACTATATATTTATATGTGTAGTGATCTTCTTTTCCACCTCAAGTTGTTCCCAATTTTGCTATACATTTTGTATAGGCAAAATACACTTGTATAGGGGTGAACAAACACACCCGCAAACCGACCCACCCGTCCAATCCGAACCAACCCACCCGTATTTATCGCTAAAACGAAAGTTTTGGGTTGAGTGAGGGTTTTCTTTTGTACAACCCGCCTCTTTTGGGTTGGGTTTAGATTTTGGATTACAAAACCCGTAGAACCCGACCCAACCCGTGTTCCAACTATTAGTATGAGTTCGGATCTAAAAAATATTTATGTAGTATATAGTCATATACTTATGAGAAAATTAAGATATTTCGCCATGTTTTTCTCTCATGATCTCCCTAATCTAATGCATTCTTCAACTTAAAGTTTAGACATAAATTGAATATAGTAATGATTCACGTAATCCTTTTTCTTGTGTACAATTTTAATAGAATAACATATGATGGATGCGTTTGTTTATAAAATTTTTAGCCTATTTCAACAAATATCGTGAAAAAAAACAAGACAGATGTTGAAATTGTTTAAATTTTACTAAAATTTAAACAACATTTGTAAATTTTCATACCTTTCACCTTGGTTCATTCGTTTAAAGTTTTAATTAGTTATAAAATATTTTTATGATGTAGAATAATTATATATTTTATGTTGGGTTGGGTTTTTACTTAAAAATATCGCCAACCCGACCCAACCCAATTAGAAACAAACCGTAGGGTTTAAAACTTTTTGAGTGGGTTTGGGTTTGATATTTCCCAAACCGTAGTGCATGGGTCGGGTGATTAAAATGACTAAACCCGAACCACCCGACCCATGTACACCCCTACTTGCATAGCCAAAACTTTCACCTTTGTGCCACTTATAGCCACATTTGGCGAAATACCACTAATAACCACTTCCGTCCGATTCTTTAACGCTGTTAACGTTAAGTGTGACTGGGCAAATGAAAGGGCTTACGTGTCAAGCCTGCGTTTCACGTGGATAAAAAAAAACAGAATCCCTAATTTTACCCTCCTCTCCGTCTCTCTCTCTCTACTCTCGCCTCTCTTCCTCTTCGCCCCCAATCAGCCGACACCGCCACCGTCTCTACCCCCGAATCACCTCCCCTCGCCGCCGCAGCGACGCCAATTTCGCCTCCATTATCCGCGCGAACCCCCTGATTTCCGACTCCAGCAACGACAACAACAACATTCCGGGCGACGAAGCACCGGCCAAGATTGACGAGTTCGACAACCTGGAGGACCAGACCGACACCGCCGCCGCCGTCAACGAAGACGAACAGGACGACGAGCAAGCCCAATCCCGAATCAAGCCCACCATCTCCACATCGGGATATTACATCGACCACGTTACTGGATCCCAACTTCAAGTGCGCTGCTTCCAAAGTCGAATCCTCCGGCGGCGGCGGTGGGTTCAACTGCGATATGTCTCGTACGAGAGCCTACAGCTTAGCAGCCGGAGGTAGCGGCGGTGGAAGCAAGGTGAGCAATAAACCTAATTGCTTTATGAGACTAGTGAGAGAGAGAAGGGGCAAGTCCCCCACCGCAAAACCAAATCCCCCCATCCCCAAATAGCTAAACCCAATCCGAAAATCTAAATTCCATCCCCCAATTTGCAGCTCCACAAAAAACCCCTCCAATTAGTCGCTCAACCAACTTCCCTTATCTCTGTATTTTTTCTGGGTATTGCTCAAGTTCAACCTTCCAACCCATGTAGATTGAATATAGGTCAGAAAGAATTGGGTTTTTGAGGTGTGGTCGTTTTCTGAAAAGAGATGGGGAAGAAGGAAGACTCGTGCGATCAGGTAAATGGGGAAAGTGTTAAAAAAATTTAAATAATAAATATCTTATTAAGATGACGTGTCAATTTTTGCTTAGTTGTCAATGACGTGGCTGATGATTTGGCGCCTCGTCAGCCGACCGTCAAATAAGTTGACGGAGTTATTAACACCGTCATAGTTTCTAACGGAAATGGCTATATCTGGCACGCAACATTTTTCAAAAGTGGTTATTAGTGGTATTTCGCCAAATGTGGCTATAAGTGGCACAAAGCTGAAAGTTTTGGCTATGCAAGTGTATTTTGCCTTTTATATATGATACATCTCAACACATGCTAATATCATCAAATCGAATTGCAACGATTTAAATCGTTGAATAGGCTTTTGTTTCGTTCATTTTATAAAATAATTATTGTTTTTGTGACAACAAAAGTTGGCAACCCAACAAAAAGTTATCCAAAAACGGTGAAATGACTGTAGGTATCTTTCTTGTTGTTTTCAAAAACGGTTTCTTGTAGAATCCTATCAATTACTATAATAATTTAATTCAAATGAGTCTGATTAAATCTCACTAGATCCACTTTTTACATATTGTCTCTCTCCATTTTCGCATAATAACTCATTCCCAAACCTTATTGTCAATATTATTTTCATATCTTTTTCTCCCTCAGTTTTGCTAATAACTCGTCATGCCACACTTTGTTAGAGATATAGTATAGGACTACAAATATAAGTTTGTTGTTTTGTAGATAGTTATGAGTAATTTGTAGTTTATTGGTACTAGTAGTGACGGAGGGAGAGTATAAGAGGGTGGGTGGCACCCACCCTGGTTCAGATGGAATATGGTTAAATTAAGTACAATAGTTAGTCGATACCAAAAATTAGGAACGTCTTATTGAGAATAGTTTATCGAAACGTGTTGTGCTTGAATCTTTGCGACGTCATTTCTTAAGCGCATGGTATTTTGATTTGTGAAACTTCCAACAACTCGATTTATTGATATTAAACGATTCTTAACAAAGAACATCATTTGAACGAACGACTAATTAAATCATGAATTATTATTTTGTGTAAGATTCATTATTATACTTCTCTCAAAAACTCGAGTTGTTGATTCTAATTGTTCTTTACAAGGAACACCATTAAAATTTAAAAGAGAACGGCTAACTAAATCATTAATAATTATTTGGTACACAGGGTGATAAATATGATAGTTTCGACTACTACCGTATTTTAATTTACCAAAAAATTTCAATATAAAATTATATCATGAATTATTAGCAAAGTTAACAAAAGCTATTTTATCATGTGTATTTTTCTTCGAAATGGACCCACTTAAACGAAATCCTGGCTACGCCACTGGGTACTAGTAGTAATTTGGTTACATATATGTAAAAGGCTGTACAGTAGAGAATTATCACCACTTACTCTTTTTGTCTAATGAGAATGATCACTACTTAATCTTTTTGTCTAATGAGAGACCAAGTATTCATCCTCCGCAAACCCTAATTCATGAAGCTAACTCACTATTCCTCCTGTTATTTTCTTAATTTTGTCTTCTTCATCTCTGCTTTCAATATTGATACTAAACGGGATCTAATAAAATTTGCGATATTCAATATTGATTTTTCAGAATTTCTTTTGGTAATAATGATTTTTCATAATTATCATTTATCAACCAAACATGTTTCTGTTTTTTCAATTTTATTATGGTGTTATCAGTTGTGGTTGTACCTAACTCCTCTATTAGCACAACAATACTGAATCAGTACGAAAACAAAACAGTACGAAACAAGCCCTTGCTTACTGTAGTAGTACTTCAACGCGAGGTAAAAAGCGATTTACCGCTTACTTAGGACATTTTCCTATAGTAGCTAGAAGAAGGAAGGAAGAAAGAAGGCCGAAGCAAACTTTTAACTGACACCAGATGACGGACGGACGGAAAGAGATATCAGAATAACAGCAACTCATTGGATCGTCATGGTGGCGTCAACGGACGTGATTGTTTGACTGAGGACAACAAGCTGCTGCATGTGGGGCCCAACTGTTTCCACGTCAGACGACGTACGTCTCTCGTCTCGTGCTTATATATGATACAAAATCCACTGTT